TAGGGTTAGGGTTAGGGTTAGGGCTTGGGCTAGGGCTTGGCCTTGGTCTAGGGCTTGGGCTAGGCCTTAGGGCTACGATTTAGGTTTAGGTTTAGGGCTAGGGCTAGGGCTAGGGTTTGGGGCTAGGGCTAGGGTTAGGGTTAGGGTTAGGGCTTGGGTTAGGGTTAGGGTTAGGGTTAGGGCTTGGGCTCGGGTTAGGGCTTGGCCTTCGTCTAGGGCTTGAGCTTGGGGCTAGGATTTGGGTTTGGGAATTGGCTTTGGGTTTAGGGCTAGGGCTAGGGTTTGGGGCTAGGGTTAGGGTTAGGATTAGGGCTAGGGTTAGGGCTTGGGCTTGGGTTAGGGCTTGGGCTAGGGCTGGGGCTAGGGCACGGGCTTGGCCTTGGGCTTGGGCTAGGGTTAGGGTTAGGGTTAGGGTTAGGGCTAGGGTTAGGGTTAGGGTTAGTGCTTGGGCTAGGGCTTGGCCTTGGGCTTGGCTTAGGGCTTAGGGCTAGGATTTGGATTTGGTTTTGGCTTTGGGTTTAGGGCTAGGGGTAGGGCTAGGGTTTGGGGCTAGGGCTAGGGTTAGGGTTAGGGTTAGGGGTTAGGGTTAGGGTTAGGGTTAGGGTTAGGGTTAGGGCTTGGGCTAGGGCTTGGCCTTGGTCTAGGGCTTGGGCTAGGCCTTAGGGCTACGATTTGGGTTTGGGTTTAGGGCTAGGGCTAGGGTTTTGGGCTAGGGTTAGGGTTAGGCTTAGGGTTAGGGCTTGAGCTTGGGGCTAGGATTTGGGTTTTGGAATTGGCTTTGGGGTTAGGGTTAGGGCTTGGGCTTAGGTTAGGGCTAGGGCTAGGGCTAGGATTTGGGTTTGGGTTAGGGTTAGGGCTTGGGCTAGGGCTTGGCCTTGGGCCTGGCTTACGGCTTAGGGCTAGGATTTGGGTTTGGGTTTGGCTTTGGGTTTAGGTCTAGGGCTAGGGCTAGGGTTTGGGGCTAGGGCTAGGGTTAGGGTTAGGGTTAGGGTTAGGGCTAGGGTTAGGGCTTGGGTAGGGCAAGGGCTTGGCCTTCATCTAGGGCTTGGGTTTGGGCTTGGGGCTAGGATTTGGGTTTGTGAATTGGCTTTGGGTTTAGGGCTAGGGCTAGGGTTTGGGGCTAGGGCTAGGGTTTGGGGCTAGGGCTAGGGCTAGGGTTAGGGCTTGGGCTAGGATTAGGGTTAGGGTTAGGGTTAGGGCTTGGGCTAGGGCAAGGGCTTGGCCTTGGTCTAGGGCTTGGGCTTGAGCTAGGGCTTAGGGCTAGGATTTGGGTTTGGCTTTGGCTTTGGGTTTAGGGCTAGGGTTTGGGGCTAGGGCTAGGGCTAGGGCTAGGGTTAGGGCTAGGGTTAGGGCTTGGGCTAGGGCAAGGACTTGGCCTTGGGCTTGGCTTAGGGCTTAGGGCTAGGATTTGGGTTTGGCTTTGGCTTTGGGTTTAGGGTTAGGGTTAGGGTTAGGGCTAGGGTTAGGGCTAGGGTTAGGGTTAGGGTTAGGGTTAGGGTTAGGGCTAGGGTTTGGCCTTGGTCTAGTTCTAGGGCTAGGGCTAGGGCTAGGATTTGGGTTTGGGTTTAGGGCTAGGTGTAGGGCTAGTGCTAGGCTTAGGGTTTAGCGCTAGGGTTTGGCTTAGGTTTAGGGTTTAAGCTTAGGGTTAGGGTTAGGCAATGACACAGCCCAGGCAGATGGAAATCTCGATGGAACTCCAGTTCCAACTCTTGATTTTTGGTGTATTTCTCCCCAGAGTTTTGGGGCAGTCCTAGCTTTGGAGGCTGCAGCTCGTGGACCTCAATTTTCCTCCTGCAGGAGAATCTCCTGGCAGAGGTTCCCAGGGGCTGGGATTGTCTTTTGGCTCTGGCACCTGGCAGATGAGAGGAATTTCCTGGAGGCTTTGAGCCCAGAGCTGCTCCAAGCCAGGACGGGGTCAGTCTGGGCCATGGCAGGAGGAAAAAAATCCTGGAAGAAAATCACCCAGCACAGACACGGTGCTGGGCTCTGAGCGTCCACTCACAGTGCTGGGAGGAAGGAAAAAAAACCCAGGAGCTTGGAGAGGAAATCCCAATGACAGAAATCCTATGGGAAACTGCTCTCACCTTCCATGATCCATCTCCAAGCACTCCCAAACCTCTTTTTTCTCCTTCATTTAAAGCTTCAGCATCCATACGGCCCATGCTGGATTTTATCCCTAATTTTGTCCTGAGACCCTGGTACCCTCTCGTGTGGCCTTGGGATGCAGCTGGGGAAAAGGCTCCAAGATCAGCAAGGATGAACAGAAGCAGGGAGGGAAAGGTGCTTAAGGGTGTTCTTTTTTTAAATGAAAGCCATGAATTAGTATCAAAATGGAATCACACAATAAATAACATAAATAATAACCCCAAAAATAAATAATAAATGATAAACAGTAACTCCAAGAACCCAATAAATGGATGGAGAAGGGGATGAGGAGCAGCAATTCCCCAGGAGGGAATTGGGGATGCCCAGAGCCCTCGGGGTGAGGGGATGAAGGAGCCTCAGGTGAATCAGCTGAAGTTTTTTATTGTCAATGAGTCTGTGGTGCCACAACGAGGCCACAGGTATAGCCCAAGTGCAACTCTCCAGCCCTGTTCACTGGGATTCCAAATATCACCAATTAAGCTAGAATTAATTAAGGAAAAAAAAAAAAAAAAGTTTTTTTTGGTGAATAAACCACTGAAGAATTAATTCAGGTCACTCGGTGTCGCGTTAGTGAGACCCAAAGCTGCCCCGGCTCCCCCCACCAAGGGGCTGGGGAATGGCAAAAGTGAATCTCATTTAATCAAATCAAATCAAATCTCATTAATGGGTTTTACACAGGCTGAAAAGACAAAAGTTTTCCTCCACCAGGATCTGATGGCAGCGATTTGAATTCCAACCACACCAGGTAAGTGCACTTAGTTTGACCTTGGGGTCACACCACAGCCTCCCTGTCCCCATCCCCATCCTCCCTCCCCTTGAAAAATCCCTCCTGGGGGCAGGTTTGGTGCATCTCCTCCAGTTCTGGAGTTCTCCCTCCAGGACTGGTGCTTTTCCTACTTTTCCTACGGGTTTTCTGCCTTCTCTGTCTCCTCCCAACTCACCAAACCAGCGAGCAGGTCTGGGAGCTTCCCATCCCCACCCAAGTCCAGCATCCACTGGGATGGAGCTAAAAGGAGAGAAAATTCCCCCAAAACCCGAGGAATGAGTGATGAAGCATCACCTCCTGCCTTCCCTCCCGTGCCCTGGGGCATTCCTGCTCTCGATGGTGCACATTTCCAGCACAGCCAGAGGATATTCCCAATGCCAGAATAAAGCTGCTGCTCTGATTTGGGGAAAAATAAACATCAGAAACTGGAATTTAAACCAGTGAAGCGTTTGGGTTAGGTTTTAACCGTTTCAGCTTAAAATTTGGGGTGAACCAAATGGGGGCAGAGGCTGTGCCACTTAAGCAGCACTGCATGTCCCTGCCTCGGGGTTAAAGTCCATCGGAATTCCTGCAGTTTGAGGAAGAAGTGTGGAATTTGTTCTGAGGTAAGAGGAGCCAGTTGGAGCAGGTTTCACACCCTCCCCTTCCCACAGCTTCAGCCACGCTCAGGGATTTTATAAAAAACAGGGAAAGCAACTTACACTGGAGTCAAATCATCCCTGGGTGGGGTGTCCGAAATTTGGATTTGAAAACCTGCGGGCAAGAGGCATTGCTAGCTGCACTCCAAGTGTTGGGATCCCACTAGGAAAGGCCTTATTTGGGGGCATTTAGGTGTAGGAAAGGCCTTAATTCAGGGGGTTTTAGGTCGAAGTTAACATTTTTAGGGCCAAGTGTAAGGCCTCGAGCTCAGTACAGTTCCAGCTCCTCTGCCCAGGTCCTTCATCCTTTCCCCTGAAAACGGCCATGGGCAGGAAGGGGTTGCATAGTTTCATGCCTTCTGGAAAAATCAACCCAAAAATAAAAACAAGGGAATGTTTGAAAGCTCTGGCTGAAGCATATAACTCCTGTTTTATTTCCGTGTGATAGGAAATGCTGCACCTCACTCCGTGCAGGATCAGGCCCGGTTTGGGAGCTGCAGTTACCAAGAACCCCAAGGAATTCTGTGCAAACATCGCAGTGCTAAAGTGAATCCCACTCTGGGAGCCAGGGGGCCGGGATGGGGTCAGAAAACAGCGTGGGACATTAGTCACAGGAGGATTTTTTTTTAACCTTATTGTTCTGCTTTTTAGCCCTGTTATCAAAAATATGGATTAATTCCGCAGCCTAAAGGTCAGTTGGTGGCTCAGCACAACGGAGCCGAGTTAATCAGGATCAGAGGTAGTACAGAGTAGCTGTGCTCAAGTAGGAGTTACATGGGGCTGTGACCCCCCTGGCTCCACCCCGGGACTGGGGGTGCTCTGGGACCCCTTTCCAGTGGGTATTCCTGGGGGATTTGCCCCACGCCACTGGGAATTCCTGGCAGGAAACGCTGAGCCAGGATCTCGCCTTGGCTCTCCTGTGGCCTGGGGGTTCTGCACCAGGAAGAGAAACCTCCAAACCCTTGAGCCTGGGAGTCCCCCTGGCTCCCCCCACCTCAGAAAGAGTTTAAAAACAACATTTTAAAACCAGAGTTGAGCTCGCCGGTAGGAGAGGGGGCGACAGAGGCCTGAGCCTGTCCTGGTGCTTGGAGTCATCCAGGACTGGGTGGGGGGCACCCAACCCACCTCACCAATGTCCAACTCCAACACGGTGTCGCTCAGTACTAGCAAGAAGAACTACAGAATAAAACCAGTGTTAAAAAACTCCATTAAAAGGTTTTGTGACGCTCAAAATGGGGCATTTCTGCTCCGTCCCAGGTGGTCAGGAAGCGGGAAGGACCTGGTGGGAGCTGCTCCCCCTGCCCGCTCCCAAAGCTTTGGTCTGGTTTATTGAGTTTTTGAGGAATTCTTCCCCCCTCACCCTGTGCTCCGACCCAAGCAGCCCCCATTGTTCCCAGGCAGTCCTGGGAATCATCCTCCTCCTCCTCCTCCTCCCTCACAGGGGCTCTGGGAAAGCAGGGGCTGGTTTCCCCATCTCCCTCCTTGCACCCTGCCAATCCCACCAGCCCCACGTCACTCCCAGTCCGTCCAGCCAAAACGCCTGCTCCCACACCCTGCAGAGTGGGAGAGGAGCGTGGGTGGGTGCAAAAGCAAAGTGGATCTCTGTTATTGCGTTCCCCACGTTCCAAGGGTCCGGATCCTCACAGGGGGAAGCATCAGAACCTGTGCACCAGTGCCTCCCGCTCCCTGCGCTGCATCTCATCCCTGTAACAGCAGGAACAGAAATTCCCAGTCTCTGGGTGTCCATAATAGGTGCAGTTGGGCTGTTTGCACTTGGTCTGCTGGATATTGTAGAGGGCTTGGCTTCTCATTTTATCCACTGTTCCCGCCTTGTCCTGCTCGAGGAATTCCCGGCAGCTGTTGCTGTGCAGGGGGAGGCAGCCGGAGCCCTTGCACTCCGAAGGGAAGGGAGGCTGGATGTCCATGTCTGTGGGGGAGAAGCAGCCCAGCTGGGCAGGGCCGGGGCCGAGCCGGCCCTGGTGGTGCCGGGGCAGGGTGGCGTAGGAGGGGAGGCTCCCACAGGGTCCCCCCGCCAGCTGCCGCCGGCCCTCGGCGCACCCGGGTGGGTGCAGCCCCTCAGCACTGCCCATGGAGGGCCTGGGGAAGGTGAAAACGCCCGAATAGCCGGCAGGAAAAGCGGCTATTTTAGCACCCACGGCTGGCTCCAGGGGCTGGGGGGGGTAGGTGGGAGGTGGCTGGGAGAACACGGGGCTTGGCGTTGCCTCCTCGCTCCGCTGGGCACCCACCTCCCCTTCCGGCCTCTTGGCCAGGGCAGCGCTGCCCAACGCCTTCTTCTCCGCCTCCTTCTGCCTCTGCTCTGCATGGAAACGCTCCTCGGCATCCAGGAGGTACCTCTGGATCATCTCCTCCTGGAACTGGTGCCGGGTGCTGGTCTTGAGGTGGCTGGCGAAGATGAACTTGCGCTCGCCCTGCATGGCGGCGCGCAGGATGCTCAGGCTCAGCCGCACGTCGCTGCTGTACTTGTAGGGATCCGACGGCTTCTCCAGGGCTGCTTTGCCTGGGCACGTTCTCTCCGCAGGAGCTAAGTCTCCTCCCGGGGAACATTCCTCCTTGCTGTCTTTCCGTGTTGCTTTCAGGGATCCTTTCTTCTTCTTCTCCAGGGTGTCTCCCTGCCCGTTGCTCATGCCGCCCTTCACGGCTTTGCTGTGCATCAGGCCCCCCATGTTCTTTTTTAGTTTGCTGCCCAGAGTCTTCCCAAAGCTTCCCAGCTTGTTGGCTACCGAGTCTGCCCGTTTTTTATCCTTTTCCTTCTCCTTTTCCCGCTCTTTCTTTGGTTTCTCCCTGTCCTTGCCGGCCCTGGTGCCCCCGTTGCTGGCAGAGCTGCTGCACACCGACTCCTTGTCCGACTCGCCCGACTCGGCTGCCGAGCGAGCATCATCACCTGCGGAGGCCGTGGGGGATTCTGGCTGAGCCAGAGGCGCCTGAGGAGGAAGGAAAAGACAAATATCGAAGTCTAGAAGCTCCTCAGGTAAAGATTTTCAGGTGGAAGGTGAAGCAAAGGAGGCGGTGTTGTTTGGAACAGGGAAAGGATGGCATCTGGACACACTCAGGAAGGCGTGTCCCCAGTGCATCCTGCACATCCCTAAATATCTCCTAAATAACCCGAGATACTCCAGGATCCTATGATTCCATTCTGTGAGTCTATCATACCTCCACCTGCTCGAGGTTTCAGGTGCAAAGCCAGGGAAGAGGGGGTGAGACTTGTCCTAGCCTTGAGGTGGCCATAAACCAACAGCTCCAATTTGTTTGGAGCATGGGGCATCCCTGAGGGGCAGGGGGCTTCTGGGTCGAGTGAAGACTGAAACAGGCATGGAAAGCTCTAGAGAAAAGGTGCCCACAAGCAAAACTGAGTCACTTCCCTGCTCTCACAGCAGGTCAGCCACAATTCCTGCGGGCACAGAGCCCCACATGAGACAAAGCCCCCAGGTAAGGCAAGGCCTTACACCACCTTCCCTGTAGAGAGGAGGGCTGAATAATTCATAGGTAAAGAAGATCCCCCTGGTCCCTTTACCTGCATGTCACAAGGCAATGTGATCCAGCGGACATTCATGTAGCTGTGCAGCAGGTGCAGTTTGGCTTCCAGCGACAGCGTCACGCTGCCATTGCAGGGGGGTAAAACCACAAGTTAGAGCCATTTTCCACCTGGAAATATCTCCCCCCGTATTTACATTATTCCCTGTGTTATGTATTTAAATGGCTGCTTTCCTACCAGTGGAACAAAAGGGATAATTGTGCAGCTTTCCTTTCCATGAAAACCCAAAGGGAGAAATCAGATTCCTCAGTGTCAGAATCAAAATGCTTCTGCCTCAGCCACAGGAACTGCTGGGACCAAACCAGGGTGAGACCTGCCCCAAGTCTCACCCAAATCAGGCATGATCTGGTGGCCACCACCCCTCCCTGCTCCAGGGACCCGTGATGCAGGGATTTGGTGGCCAATGGAAAAAGGCACCTTTTTTGTGCTACTCCTCCTCCTGCTGCTGGTGCCTTGAGCTATGCCCAGCCCAGAGCTCCAGGATCTGGAGCATCATCTACCTACTGCGTGTGAATGATGTCACAGCCCCACCCAAATCGTATCAAAAATGAAGGAAAATGAAGGAAAAGCTGCTCCACCCCCATGAACAGCGTCATTCCCTGGGCACAACTTTCATCCAGCACAAGAAATCCCAGGTGGGGTCTCTGCAGATCACCCAGACCCTTTGTGGAGCCAAACCCTGGATCACCTGCAGATCACCAACCTGGCCAGCTTGACATTGTCACTGTCGTCCTTCCCCCACTGCCACTCCTTCCCAGGATCCACGGCGAAGTGCACGGGGAGCAGCTTGTGCTCAGAGTCTGTCAGGGGGATCACAGCTGCCCCGGGACAGAAATGTCACATTTACAGCCCAAAAGGACAAATACTCCACACCTGGAGCCAACTCTGAGCACCCACCAGCAGCATCGTCCCCTCTGATGGGAATGGCCTGACAGCAAAATCCCAGTGAGTGCCAGTACTCGGGATGATGGAATTGTCAGAACACCACAGAATGCCTCATGGCCCTCACAGGAAAGGGTTTCTTCACAATATCCCACCTAACTCTACCCTGTGTCAGTGTCTTGCCACGCCAGGCCCTCGTCCCAAGTCTCTCTCCAGCTCTTGGAGCCCCTTTAGGCACTGGAAGGGCTCCAAGGTCAGGACAATGTTGGTTTTTTGGGCTGACAGTACATGTTGATGGGTCCTGGCCAGCTTTTCCCCCACCCAGCACTCCCAAGTCCTCCTCCTCAGTGCTTTGTTCACTGGAATCTCATCACCCACCTTGATCCTTTGTGTTTTCTTTCTGCTCCATGGAGACCAGGGCAGAAAAATGGGCTTGGTCATAAGCCAGAACCAATGGAGACCGGTGGCATTTGTTGGCTGGGACTTCCAGGGGCAGATAGATCCCTCCAAAGGGAATTGGGGCAAATGCTGGGATGAAACAAGAGTGGTTAGTTCTGATCGCAGGTTCAAGAGTTCAGAGTTGTTTGTGCTGTAACTGCTCCAGAATGAGATCTTTGCCTCAGTCGAAGGCTCACCTGCAATTATCTGTCTTTTCAGGGGACATTAAACAAAACCACAACCCAAAATAGATGTTTATTTTACATCAGGAGGATTTTAAATGTAGAATGAACTGATATTTTCTATAAAAAACCCTCCACTCCCCCGCAAGACAAACTTTGCCCACAGAACGATGGAAACTGATTAACCTTCTCAAACAGGAAACTGAAGCTGATGGTGGAAAATCCACCACCCAGGGAACAGATTTTCCCATCTCTAGATGTGTGTATAGGGGCAAAAGAGGTAGAAAAAAAAATAAAACCTCGTGTGGATGCCCTTAAAGCAGCAGAAACTGGGTTGGGAGCCAAGCCTGGCCCTGGGCCCCCTGTGGCTTTTACTTGTAGCAGATCGATTTTCCCCCCACTGCACCATTCCCAATTCCAGGTCCAGCCTCGAAGGCAAAGGAAAAGACGTGGCAGAAAGGAAAGGTGAACAGATCAGAGAGGTTTTGGGGAAGAGAGGCAGGTCTCACCTTCGCCTCCCGAGTCCCGCAGCATCGTGTCTGCCACCACCACAATGGGTCTCTTCAGCACATGGGCCAGGACAAAGACGTGGAACTCCTCCAGGCTCTCGTACACCGGCTCCTCTGAGCTCTCCACCCTTGGGGAAAAGGAGAAGTTGAGTGTCACGCCCTGGAGGGTCAAGCATTTGCTTGGTAACATCGGGAGGAGGTTTCACAGTCAGCCATGTGGAGGTGGATGGACGGCGCTAAGGGTGATCTCAGCACTGATCTGAGGCTTTAGGGGTGGATCCCCAAAATGTCCTGCTCCAAGACAAGGGTTTGTGCCCAAGGAACACCCAAGCTGCTGCCTGGCATTGCAGGGAGTCCCTTATCTAAGGAGCTGGACATCTGTGGAAGGGAAGTGTCCTTGAAACAGAAGTGAGATGGCAAAAACTCCCAGCTCTGTGTTACTCTCTCCTTTCAGAGCAAGCAACACAAGGAAACACAAGGAAAAGATTCATTCCCTGCTCAACCCACGTGCTACCCCACAGAACAACCTGTGCAGCACCAAAATCCTTTCCCAGGATGCTCCACGTGCCTTGTGGATCCTTCATCCTTCCCCTGAAACCCCAAGGAGACAGCCAGACAGGCCAAGACAGAGCCACTGCCCTGTCCTGGAGCACCGTGAGAGCTGTGCCCCGAGGGAAGGCACTCCCTGCTGTACCCTGGGACTGTTCCCTGCTCCCGTACCCGCCGCAGCCGCCGCCGTTGGTGCCGTAGTGCACGCGGGGCTCGCTGGACGCCAACTTGATCAGCTCGTTCCACTCCTTCTGCCACTCCTCCTCCGTGTAAACCAGGCCGGACTGAAAAAAACAGCAAAGGGAACCCAAAATCCTCCAGGTAAAGCTCTTTGTTGCTCCAGCACGGGTTTATACCCACAGCAGAATTTTTCTCTACGGGTTTATGCAAGAACGATCAACACGCTCTGCACCATGTCCTCAAAAGTGCTTCCCAATATTCATCCAAACTTCCCCTCTCGATTTAAACCCATTCTCCTTGTCCTGTCACTTGTCCCAGCACCCTTTCATTTTGCTGCAGCTCTAACTGCAGGACACCCCTCACCACAGCCCAGTCCAATTGGCACGGCAGTGAGCTGCCCAAAACTCCAAACCCGACAGGAAGCACCTCCCAAACCCACAGGATGTTTTCCCAGGACTCTCCCCTTGGCAAAGAGGGCCCAAACCAAGATTCAGTGTGGCTCCCACCTCCTTGTTCTGCTGCGTCTGCTGCCAGCGCCATCTCCTCCTCAGCGCTTCCCGCTCCACTCCTTTGTCCATCAGGGTGTAGAGGGATTTTCGGAGCATGAGATCCCGGTCATGGAAGCCCCACATACCTGCAGGGAGAAGGAACAGCCTGGAGGGTCAGGAGAGGCTAGTGTCACTCCCTGACTCACTCAAGTCCCTGCACAGATGCTCCAGAAAAGGGAAGGGGCTGCTCCGTCATCCCACGTTTCTTTCAGGAATCCAGGGGAATTTGCCAGACAGAGGGGGAGAAGGATTTGAGAAGCACAGAAGCTGCTGGCAGCCCCTTCCCTGTGGACACACACATTTAGAGAGCTTGGAAATTGCAGCTTGGCAATTCCTTTCAGGCCTGGATTTCTCCTGTCTCTCAGCTCCATTCCCAGGCTGACAAGCTGACTGCAGCTTCAGCTGAGGGAGGAGTCTCCCAGAGTGATAACTTGGTGAAAAACAGAAGGAAATTAATAATAAAGATTAACACCTGGTGTCTTTCCCATGGGACATCCAGACATGCTGTCCCAAGGATGTTTTTCCCAATTGTCCAGTGAACTCCTGTCCTGTCCTAGCTGCACTAACACACTTTAAATCCGGGCTGTCTGTACAATAAATTGGCTTTTTTTTTTCCCCAAAAGATCTCGGTGTGTGTTGCTGTCCTTTCTCTCTCTTTGCAGCACGGTGACCACACTTCCCTTCGAGCCATCCCACTCCCACAGAGCCCGAGCACTGCACACCAATGAGGAGCAGCAGCACCCTGGTTTCCCACCACACTGGGTGGGTCCTGCTCCCAAAGGGGGGACCCCTGAGCTCTTGCTCTTGTTTCCCCTAGGGATTAAGCCAAGCCTTACCCAGGGAGGCAGCGTGGAGCAAACAATTCCCATCGCCAGTGGTGGCCAGGGGCAGCAGACGCTGGCAGCTCGGATCCACTGTCACCCACCAGTTGAGACGCCCTGGGGAGATTTGGGAGACTGTGAAGAGCTTGGGGGGCACTGCAGGGCTCAGCCCTTCTGAAACCACGGCCAAAAATGAGCTGGACGAGTGAGGGAGTGCCTGGAGAGCTGGGAAGGTACAGACCCGTTCCAGGACTAGGGAGGGGAAAGAGTCAGGACAGTGACAAAGCAACAAAAAGAGGAGACTGGAGCTGCAGAACTCCCCGGGGATGCCACAAAAAGACCAGGCTAGATTTGGGGTGCACACAAATAGGAGCCAGGACTTCCACCTAGACCAGTTCTCCTCTATGTTTTCCCCCCACATCCCTTATTTCCCTCCCCACAGCTCATCGGGCTGAAAATGCTCCCAGGAACACCCAGCACAAACAATTTCTCCAGGGAAAAGCAGCCTTTTGCTTCTTGGAACCAAATCCCTCTGCTTTCAACCCTCTCATGGCTGGGTTTTTCCCTGCTCACTGTTTTTTAAGCAGAATACTCCAGGATTTCTGCTGATCCCAGCAGCTTTCCTGATGCAAATGCAAACCAACAGCGCTTTAGACCAGGAGTTTTGGGTCATTGTGATGATTCAAGTCAAGAGCAGCTAAAAATAAAAAGGTAGGAAAAAATGCCCAGTGACCCCAGTGTGGCTGGAGAGTCAGCCCTTCCCAAGGGAGTGAAGCTGGGCTGGATCAGGACTCTGAACCCCCCATCCATGTCTCACCCTGCCCTCAACATCCCTCCTGAGCTGCCACATTTTCCAGGAGTTTTTGGATCCAGTGCAACAGGCAGGTTTTTGGCTGGATGGGGCTGTTTAGGCTTCCAAGTTGTATTTAAATTGCTCCTGCAGGAAACCAGCCCTTTCCCATCGTTTCCAAAGAGCCACTCCTTCCTCTGGAGCATGATCCCTGCCAGGGATCCCAGTACACACACATGGGATTGCTGGAAATGCTTTGTACACCCTCAGGGAGAGCAGCTGGAGAGGAACTAAACGCAGAAATCAGGGCTTAAAACATCCCAAAACACCAGAAAACAAAAAAGCACGGAGTTCAGTGTGACACAGGCAGGTCGTTCCTGTCCCCAGCGGCAGGAAAGGGACCTGCCAGAGCTGGAAGCATTCTGCCCTGAGCCTGGGGACAATGGCTCTGCCCGGAGAGGCCGGCTGTTCCCTCAATATAGCTCCTGGCACGGCAGAGTTGGGAGCCTGGCCAAGTGGCCCAGGGCCAGGGGAGCAAACACGGAGCTGTCCCACACGTAATTCTGTTGGGGGCAGCACCGACAGCTCCTTCTTGTCCATTTTCCCTCATTCCTGCAGGATCTTTTCCATGGAGTTTGTGTGTCCGGTTGGTGCTTCGGAGGTTGTGCAACCTCTGCCCGAGTCAGATGTGAGGGGACACACCTTGGAGAGGTATTTCTGTGCCCAAGTGTTTGCACTGACTCTGGTTATGCAAGAAAAGTCGTCTCCAAAGGAACCACACGCCCAACCCTCCTGCCAGTGTTTTGCTCCCGTCGAGGTGGCAGAAAGGCCAAGAGGCTGCCCAGAAGTACTGAAAACAACACATTGCTCTGTGTGTGGCTGTTAAAAGCCAGTCCTAAGAGCTCTGCAGGGAAATCAACCGGATTTAGGAGCCTGAGGGATCTTCCCAGGACGGCCGTGGTGGCAAGAGATTTTCTGCACACAGGAAAAGTCCAGAGGTTCACTGTGCATCCAGCACCATGACCCTACAGACACCTGTCTGTCCCCACAGCGTGTTTGGGGAAATCCTATTGTACCTCCCAGCAGGAGCCACCTGAACAGGTCATGGCAATGGCTCCGCCCAGCCTGAAGGGAGGATTGCCTCATCCAAACCACAAATGGCTTCCCTAAGGCTACTGGGAATGGGAATCTGCTCCTGCTGCGTGACACGGGGAGTGTCCCAGTGACTGCTCCTGAGGCCAACACAAGGGATCCAACAGGGACACACACACAGCGTTGGCCACCCTGTGTGACAGCCAGACCTCTGAACACATGGGGAAGAGGATCTGAACATTTATTGGGCTATAAAATATTTCCTTAATCCCCTAAGGCTGGTGCGTGCTAAATTAATAACGGGAGTCTCTGTAGATCCCAGTACCACGCTCAAAACCCTACTTGGAATCCAGCTTGGAATATTTCATAGCTGCACTACAGCCCTTTGTTACAGACAAAACACTCATTTATAACAACCCACAGACACTCGAGTCTCTGAAAGGCATTTTTCTAAAACTCGGAATTTCTAAATTCCTTCCTGTTAACGGCATCTCAGCACACCTGGAAGTGCCCCCCAGCCTCACACCCCATTTGTGCTGGGACACAGGAACCCAACACCTGGCTCCACCGGGATGAGATCTGGGGTTTATCTGCACCAGAGCCAGCAGCTCTGCTGTCACCACACGGCATGGTCGTGTAATGGGATCACTGGGATCAAGTGCTCATTCCCAAAACATGAGAATATTTCTTACAGCAACTCCTGAGCAGGAGAGGCAGGAGTTGGGCCCTCAGAGTGTCTGTTATCCCTGAGGATAACGTGTTTCCTGGTATGTGCAGCACCACAGAAACAGCGGGGAGTGTAAACCCTCCTGAGATCCACCACGTGTCCTGTCCTTGCACACAGGAACCTTCCTGCTGCCAGGGATGAGGTTTTTCCCTGCCACCATGGATGTCCCCCTCATTTACAGATGCCCTAGCAGCTCTTCAGGAGCCTGATGGAAAGCAAAACACGGGGTTCCTCCCCAGCAGGCACTGGAGCAGCAGCATCGACCTCCAGAGTCTGTAATCAATGCAGAATTTGCCAGCAGGACGTGTTACACAGGAATTCCCTCTTCCCTGTCTCTCCACCGGGGCAGGATGGAGCACTGGGATGCTCCAGAGGTGACACAATGCCAGTTTTGGGGTGTTTTCCCTCTCAGCTGTGCACAGTGATAACAGCCCTGAGTTATTTACACTCAGTTTCCACGGCTGAAGGGAAGCAGCTCCCACTCAGCCCTTGCACCAGGTCCTAAAAACGATGGAAATGATTCCCTGTTGGATATAATCTAGCATCCATGGATATCCCGGGGTGTTGGCAGCACTGATGCAGCACTCACCAGCCTGCTCCAGTGCTACCAGCATGGACTGCTCGATGAGATCCCTCTCGATGAAGCTGCGGAAATCCTCGGGGTACACGGTGAGGTCGGGCAGCTGGAAGGTGCAGATGGGCATCTCCAGCAGGTGCTCGCTGCTGCTGCCATTGCTGGAGACATGAGAACGGGCCAGGGACACGATGGTGGAGCTGGCATGGGAGATACCTCGGGACAGGCGCTTCTCTGGGGTGGGGCGGGGGGGGGAAAAGAAAGAAGAACAAACAACAAAATGGGACGGGAGCAGCAAATCCCAGAGCAGCCAGCACCGAACTGCTGTGACACCGGCACGGGACGACGTCCCTGGCTCGGGGACACCGACCTTGCACGACGTCGTCCTGGCGCTGCAGCGGGGGCCGCCCCGGCCGTGCCACCTCCCGTTCCGGGGGCCGGGCCCCGCGGCCCTCGTTGAAGGAGGGCGGGAGGTTCCCTGCGTGCACCTGCCGGAGCTGCTCGAAGTCGCTCAGAGCCGCGCTCAGGTCCCAGTTCTTACCTGGATGGGAAGGGAGCAGCGCTGTCACCCTCAGCACGGAAAACCGAGGCATTTCCCCCCCGCCCCAAAAAAAAATCTGCGTGGGAAACTATTCCAGCTCCCTCGCCCTTTTTTTTTTTTCCACCCAGCTCCCCAAAGGGCACCTCCCTGATTATTCCCAGTTTTCCATACCTTCAAGGAGGTCTCTGGCCAGCCCCGGCTCGGCTCCCGTTGAGCGAACAAAATCGGACAGGACGATGTCCATAGCCAAGGCCAGGCGGGGTCAGCGGCGCCGCATCGGCTCCTGGGCATCAATCTGGGAACGAGAGCGAGGGCTTGGATTGCACATCCCCATCGGGAAGGAGCTCAGGGGGACGGGAACCTCCCCCTGAAACGAACCGGGCTCCGGGATCGCCGCTTCATTCCCGGGGAAATGGGAGAACAACACCCACTTTGCTGTAACGGGCAACGGGCATTTCCTCGGAAAATTAGCGAGCTGAACCCAATTCTCATCTCCGAGGTGGTGGAGCTTTTCTTTCCAAATTAGGAATAAATTACATAATAAAGGAGTATTTGGGAGCAATGAGAAAGCAGAAAGTTTCTCCTGTACATTTACAGGGAGCAAATTCCTGCCCCCATCCCTCTCCAAGCACCCCAGCTGTGAGGCAGGGAAAAGGAAGTAAGGACAAAATGCTAGAATTAGGAGATGTGTCCTAAGGAAAATACATTTTTAAAAGCCCCTTTCAGACAAAAAAATCCAAAACCAAACAATTCCAACTGCTCTGGAAAACAAAATCAATGTCCAGACAGAGCTCCTTTCTACTCCTGAGTCCCTTGCCAGGCTCCTTCAGCTCCAGAGCTCCTTCCCAGAGGGGAACAAAACCACAGATCTATTCCATAAATCTGGATTTTGTCAGGTTCTGAGCCTGCGGAAGGCGTGTGCTCCTGCCATGCCTTCAAATCCTGATTTTCCGCATTCCTCGGGGCAGAGAGGGAAAGGAAGAGCAGCCTCATCCGTGGGAGTCCAGATCGGCAGAGTGCTCCATGGAATGTGGTGCTTTGCAGTTAAAGGCTGGGATTAAAAATTCTGCCATCAAGGAACAGAAAAGAACGGGGAAAAGAATTTATGTCACGCTGAAAATCTTGGAAGTGGAAAATCTGGGAGAGGGAGGTGCTGGTATATCAGGTATAAGAGCAGATTTCAGGACTGGCTGTTTTCCTGGCGCCTGGGAAATAAAGCTTCTTTTTCAGGATTATCCTCAAAGATGGGCAAAACCCCCCCAGCACCTTGAAATGTTTTTTTTTTTTCCCAAGATTATCCTTAAAAGGTGGGTGAAATTCCCTAACAGCACAACTCCCCACAAGCAACCGTTACATCCAGACATGGAATTTCTTGGCTTTGCTGGAGAAACACCATTCCCACTGTCACAATTGTGTCGTTATTCAGTTCCTCCTCCCAGAAAAAAAAACCACTCTGGATTCCTTCACTGCCGGAGCAAGCCGGGAGCTGTGTCGGAAGAAGTGATGCCAAAGCCCAGCGAATTCTGGGAGCAGGATTTGGCAGCGATTCCTGCTCTTACTCCACCAATTTAGGGAACATCCCCGATTAGGAGCCGCAAGTTTGGATCCTCTAATCCCCCTGGCAAGAGCTGTAAGAACAAGGAGCAGCCCCAGGATGAAACTGGCTGTGACAATGAGTAAAACTTCCTTCAGGTGGGCGTGGAATTCCAGCAAAAATGAAAACTCAGCACACGCAGCAGCGGAGGTCTGGGGAGGGAACAAGCAGCACATCCCATCCCACCCCCTCGTCCACGGCATTCCAAACTCCCTCGTGCACAAAAATGCCAGGGAAAACACAGATGGAAACTCTGGGTCCAACGAGGCTGTGACGGATTGTTGGAGATTTACTGAGGGGTCGGATGGAGAAATGTCCCCACCCCAGAGTTATTGATTGTTTCCTTTCCCCACGGAAGGGAAATGCTCTCTCCTCATCCCTCCTTGCAGAACAGGTCAGAAATATGAGCTCAGGTAGGAAATCCAAGCCTCAGGAGATCCACAACTGCAAATCCATCCCCAGCAACGGAGCAGGTGCTGAGTAACTCCTAAAACCCCCAGGAGAACAAGGGGATGAAGCACGGCTGGATGTGACCCAGAGTGAGTGTTCCTGCCACATTCCAAGCAGAAATATGTGGAAAACACGTCTTTAGGACTAAGCCCAGTTGTTCCTGTGATCCTGGCGATCCCAAGAGTTCTTTGCAGGACATACCAGCAGGTTTTCAGCAAATGTTTAACAAATATCCCCCCACGCTTCCACAGGGGCTGAGCACAGCAACGCTCCTGACACAAGTTCAGCTGTGCTGGAGTCACACCTCGCTCGGAGCAGAAGGAGCTGGAGCTTCATGCAAACACCATTCCATGGTCACAAGCCCCTGGGAACAGAGTGAAAGCCCCATCCCAACGTGCCAAAGGATCTGCCCAACACTGACAGCAACCTCCAGCCTTCCAGGCAGCAGGGATCTGCCCAGCTGCGCCTTTGGGAATGGGGCAAAGATGTGTTTAGTCAATCCTGGCAGCCTGAAAATCCTTCTTTTAATATCAAATGTCCATCCAAAATAAGGGGAAGGTCATAAAACTCCCCGGAGTCTCCTCTGTCTTGCTGCCTATGGCCTCTCCCTGGGCAACTCCAATGGTCACATGCTGGGTTTAGGAAGGGACTGACCAGGAGCAAGTGGAGCATCCCGGCCCTGCCCTGACATCATCACAGAAGTCAGGAAACCGAGGCAAGAATTCAAGAGGACACAAGGCCCAAGAGCTCAGTGTCTCTCAGCTTCACCCTGGGGGAAAATAAACCCTTGGGAACGCTGAACTGAAGCAGTTGACCTGAACCGACTGTAAAGCAGCAAAACTGGATCCATTCAAAGCTCCAGATTAGAATTGATGAGGCTTTAATTCCCGCATTTTCTTAGATTTCAATCATGCTAAACATGCTTCAGAAATAGGAAATAATTCTCTTTTTTTAGGGCCAAATCCTGACCCGAGGTCGGCCACGACCGGTGGCTCCCGTGTGTTTATAAAGCTACTTCCAGAAATATTTTAGGAGCAGCAAACTCTGACGTCTTTCCCCTGGATCAGCCACGTGATGTTTTGCTGAGGGCAGGAAGCGAGCTGGGAGCCAGGACACCACTCACAGGGCTCAGCCCTTCTGCCACATCCTATCCCCACAGGGACATGGGGAACCCCAGGCCAGACCCTCAGGGAGCTGCAGGAGGAGGCAGGAGGTGCCCAAACCCATGGGAAATTCAATCCTGCCAGACCCACACGGATGTTTTTGCTCCCACCATTGGGAGCAGAGTGGCAAACCAGCACATACCAAACTCCCAAACCCCAAATTCTCTAAAACCCTGGAATTTGGCAGCACTCAGGGCTAAGCAGGGGTGTCCCAAGGGAGAAGGCCACGCTGGGACATGGGAGCAGCTCCAACCTGAGCCCTACTAGAGTAACAATGAGAAAAATGAGCTTCTTCATGAGCTTTGAATGAGCATGTCCTGACGCTCCTGAAGGAGGTTTCTGGCTCCCTCCTGCTCCCCACAACAGTGGGGGCTGCCTCTGTGCCATCCCACATCCCTGCCGTGGCCCAGCAGGTTACCTAACGCCGGGATTAACGTCCTGACCTGACACCTGACACGTGCTGGGGTCACCGGGCTCCTGGCATGGGACTCGGACCACGCAGCTCCTGCCTCTTCCAACCCGGCTCATCATCACCATCATCAAAAAAAAACCAGTTATTCCTGATGAAACTGATGGTGCAGGGCATCCCTGGAGCTCATCAGCCTCTCAGCCCCAAGGAGGGGTGCTGTGAGTGCAGAAGGAAGCCAGTCCGAGAGGGGAGAACAGGGATGTTTGGGGACAGATGGCACAGGCAGCTGTGGCAGTGCTGGATGTGGCTCTGTGGCTGCACCTCGTGCTCGGTAGGAGCAGCTCTGCAAGATTTACCATTGTGGGAACCACAGGCTCTGGAACCTCTGGCAGAGTTTTAGCACAATCCAAAAGGACAGCACATAATCCCTGCAAAGGAGCTTTTCCAGCAGGGAAAAGGGGCTCCTAAAACCATGCTGGTGCTCAGGAGTTGGAGTGGGAGTGAAACGACAGTTATAGAAATGATCCCATTTTTATAAAGCTTCAGTGCTTCAATGAACAGCTTTATCCCGTTTTTTTTTTTTTTTTCCCAGAGCTCCAGCTGCTTCCCAGTGCTCTAGACACAGCTGGGCTCCTCCCAAAAACAGGTCATCCTGAACCTTGGGCTGAAGAACCCACCAGATTGACACCTCCAAGACAGATAAAAGCCCAACAAGTCTCCAACAAAACACAGCAGCTCCATCAAATCCAGGCTCTGTCCCACTATCATTATCCCTCTCGGTTATCAATTCCTCTTGCTCCCAAAATTATAGGATTCTCTAATGAAGCATTCACAACAAACTTAGCTCTCTCAGCGTCTGCACCAAAGAAATTCCCTTTGAGCCAAGTTCTCCTTAAACCAGGCCGTGCCTATTTCCAGCCTGACCCTGGTTCTCTGCAAGAGCTGGGCCTGGCACATGCTGTCCTTGCCTGTATCCCAGGGGGATGCTCCAAGTGTCCCCTCTGCAATCGAGGCCACGGCAGCTCCATCACCAATTCCGCACGTTTTCTCCCCAGAATGTTTCAACTCAGTGCTCTGCCCGCAAGGAAAATCCATTTTCAGCCGTTTGCAGGGATGAGTTTAGGGTATAACTCAGGAGTATGAGAGGTGAGGGCCAGAGCATCTCCCAGTGCTCCTCCACAGACAGCAGAGCCACATCCTGGCACTGAGGGGCACAGATTCACCACAAACACCAGCAGAAAATTAAATCAATTCCAACAGAAAACCGAACCAACCAATACTAAGGCACCAGGAAGAGCCTGAATTTTAAAGAGGGGCTGACAAGGGCCTCACACCTGAAGCATGCACAGGGATGCTTGGATCCAGCTGAGTGTCCTGACAGCTGCCCCTTCAGACACATCCAACACTCCATCCACAAGCGGCCACACCATCTCCACTCCAGCAGTTTCTTTAGCACAAAACCATCTTTAAGCAGCTTAAACATGCCATTTCCCCAAAAAACGACTCAGCATGGACACGTGCCATGTCATGGAAAAAAAGCCCAGTGATACAGAGTGAAGAATCCCGGCTGGAAGTTTGGACTTTCCAGCTCCAACGAGGCCTTTAGGAACCGGGAGATCTCTGCTGCCCCGGAGCCCCCACCGTGTACCCATTTCACAGACAGGAAAGCCGAGGGGCCCCGCAGCATTCCCGGTGCGCTGGGATCCAACTCAACTCCCGGGAGGCTCCGTCCCGCTACCGGGAGTGACTGCCAAGGCCTCGGAGCAGAGTTTCCCCCGGAGCTGGGGATCGTCCGGGGCTGGGGCCGGGAGCTGCTCTTCGCCCGCATCGACAACACGGAGAGCGGCGAGGCAGCCGGGAATCAGGCAGATGAGGAATTCCCTTTCCTCATGGATCGGGACTCGCAAACTCCAGGGCTGTTTCTGAGCTCGTGTTTCGCTGCCGACGAACTCGAGCCCGGCCCCCGCGGCTGCTTCACGGCTCTCCCCCGCTCGGGAAGGGACCCCGGGAGCGACCCCAGCCTGGAGCGGGCAGCCGTGCGGATAGCCCGGCGCTCCCAGGGGAAAACAAGCACCAAGAGGACAATTATTCGGTCCCGAGTCGCCGGGAGCAGGAAAATGTCATTCTCCTGCCCCAGGGGCAGCCGGGGTCGCCCCTTCCCCGGGAGCCCCGAACCGTCCGGCGGTGGCTCCGGAGGCCTCAGCCCGGGGGCTCGCACCGGGAACGGGCGGGGGGCGGCCCCAGACCGGCCGAGGCGCGGGGGAGCCCTCCCGGCCCCGGCCCGCAGGCCCCCGGGCTGAGGCGGGACCCGCAGCAGGCACCCGCACCCCGGGACCCACCCTCGTACACCGGGACGACCTCCGGCACCGACCCCAGGACCCGCACCCCGAGACCGACACCGGGACCCGCCCCCGCCGCCCCTTGAAGCCGCGCCATGACCCAAGGCCCGGCCCCGCCAAAACTTTCCCGAGGCCGAGCAGGGACCCGCCGTTACCTACGAGAGACTCCATGGGCGGCCCGGCGCGGCCCGGCCCGGAGCGGCCCCCGGGCCCTCCTGCCGTCCTCGCCGCCGCTGAGGCCGTTCCCGGGGCGGGCGGGGGGGGGGGGGGTGGAACGGAACGCGCCACCCGGAACGCGCCGCCACCCCCGTTCCCGCCCGGAACGCTTTGTCGGGCGCACGCGGCCGTGCCGGGAGGGGCCAATGGCGGCGCAGGGCCAGGCCTGGCCCCGCCCCTTTGGGCGTGGGGAAGCAGAGCGCCCCCTGGCGGCGTGACGGGGTGTGCGTGCCCGAGACCGCGCGAGGCTCGGGACCCCCGTGAGGGCCCCGGGAGCCCCGTGAGGGACCTGGGACCCCCTTGAGGGACCTGGGACCCCCGTGAGGGGCCTGGGACTCCGGGATGGCACCCGGGACCCGCGTGAGGGACCTGGGACCCCCGTGAGGGACCTGGGACCCCGGGATGGCGCCTGGGACCCCCGTGAGGGACCTGGCACCCCGGGATGGCGCCCGGGACCCCCGTGAGGGGCCCGGGAGCCCCGTGAGGGACCTGGGACCCCCGTGAGGGCCTCGGGACCCCCTTGAGGGACCTGGGACCCCCGTGAGGGGCCTGGGACTCCGGGATGGCACCCGGGACCCGCGTGAGGGATCTGGGACCCCCGTGAGGGACCTGGGACCCCCGTGAGGGCCTCGGGACCCCCGTGAGGGACCTGGCACCCCGGGATGGCTCTTGGGACCCCCGTGAGGGCCCCGGGACCCCCGTGAGGGACCTGGGACTCCGGGATGGCTCCTGGGACCCCCGTGAGGGACCTGGGACCCCCGTGAGGGACCTGGGACCCCCGTGAGGGCCCCGGGACCCCCGTGAGGGACCTGGGACCCCCGTGAGGGGCCCGGGACCCCCGTGAGGGACCTGGGACTCCGGGATGGCTCCTGGGACCCCCGTGAGGGGCCCGGGACCCCCGTGAGGGACCTGGGACCCCGGGATGGCTCCTGGGACCCCCGTGAGGCTGAACCCCAGCACTGGGCTGGCCTGTGTGTGGTCAGTACCCCCTGCGCGGGCCTGAAACGCCGAGCCCCGAGGGTGAGGGGTCAGCACCCACTCCCTGAGCCTGATGCCCGCTGGGAATCGCTTTCCCTACCGTGGAAAGCTTCCTGTTCCTCGCCCATGGCACGGGAGCAATGCTGAGCGGGGCAGCAGCTGCAGGGCTGGGGGGATGGCCGGTGCCTTGGCTGAGTGCCCCACATTCCCCGTGCTGTGGGTGCCCATGGAAGCACACAGCGTGCCCCAGCGCTGTGCCAGAGCCGCGGGGCTGGTGGCCAGAGCAGGGGGCTGGTGATGCCACCAGCTGTGTCAGGATGTGTCGGGAAGTGCTGGCACAGCTCCCATGGAGCCATTGCTGGTGTGTTTGCCCCCTGGTCCATCTCCCCCTCAGCCTTCTTCTTCCCTTCCTGGAGAAAACCTCCAGGTTTTCTCTTAGGAAAAACACAGGTGGGCCAGGCCTTGGGCTGGAGCAGTGGCCAGTGGGGGCCGGTGGCAAACAGGCCATGTCATGCGCACAGCTCAGCTGATCCCGACGTTGAATCCATTCTTTGTGTCCTGCCAGGAACCTGCCCTTGTTTGTGTCCTGCACAAAGGGATTGTTTGTGTGTCCGGGCAGGGAAATGTCCAGCACAGAAAGGACGGGCCCAGGGTTTGTCCCTGCTGGCTGCACTGTTTGTTCACACAGTGGATCCTGCCCGATGTCTCTGGAGTGTCCCTGTGCTCCAGAATGATCCCTGCCCATTCCATCTCACCCTGTTCCCATCCTGCTCCTGCTGGAGCCACGGCTGGGGGTCAGCACGGTATTAAATAGACATAAAATCCTGTCTCGTTCCTGACAGCTCCACTTGACTTTCCCCCAAAGCCCTCTGGAGCAGCCAATGAACATATCTGGCACAGGGATGCCACTTCCAAAGGGATGCAGTTGGACCTTGCAATGTTTATTTGGGATTTTTTTTCTCCCCCTCTCACTGTTAACAGGGGAAGCACAATTGCCTTGTAAAACAATAACAAGGTGAGGCAAAGCCCCTTGTGATTCCTTATCTCCAAAGCTGGGAAGCCATCCAGGACTTATTTTACTGCCAAGAGCATTTTCCTGAGGAGATGCCTGGGACACAAGTGCTGTGTCAGAGTGGAAGAACAGGGAAGGTCAGGATGTTCCCAAGTCACCCAGGAGGTGCTGGGTGGTGTCCCAGGAAGCACAGGCTGCCGTGGCCATCTCTCCTTGGAAGCAGGAGCGGAGAATCCATTGCTTTTGAAATAATTGACACCAAATTCAATTCCTTAAAATAGCAGTGCCATAATCCCGGACAATCCTATTGCCTCAACTTAGGGACCAACATCCGTCCTCGTGCCAGGCCAGGGCAGTTATTGGTGAGGTTAAATCAGGGTTATTTACAGAAATTATACCTGAATAAATTCTTAAGGAAGGTTTAAATTAAAAATTACAGCAAATGCAGAAGTCTTTTCCAGCCTAAACAATTCCATGATTCCAACCACTCCCAGGACATGGAACTGCTCTCCTACCCCACCAGTCTGTGGGGAAGGAAAAGTGTAAAATTCCTGCAGAATAAAAGTTGTTTAAAAGTTGTTTTACCTGCAAACCAGGGATCAACATCCCACTAAGAAGCCTCAGAGATCTGGTTTGTGATTAATTTCATTAAATGACACAAGGGGTTTGTTTTCCCTAGGGACAAGGACAAAGACGTATTTAAAGAGGAGATGACTGCCCGGGTTTGGTTAGTTCACAAATAAAATTCAAAAGCATTTCCAAGGAAACTGGACAATAACTAAACCAGCGCTTTACAGACATTGTATCATTTAACAATAAGGCCAGGAAGCAATCAGATGCAATTAAACCCCGATTTTTTTATTCCATTTGCCATTATTCTGTGTATCCTTTGGCCAGGAGCACCCACACACTCCTGAAGGCATCAGTTTGGATATGAGAAACAAAATCAGGCAAGAAACAAAAAATGTAAGAAAGAAAATACTGGGGTTGTATTTTTCTAGGTAAATCTCTATTTAAACCATTCAAATCTTTGGGGTTTGTGTGAAGATCCGTACATGTGCAAAGCTCCCCAGCCTCCAGGAAACAAGACCCAAAGTGTTTGGAATTGAAAAGTAAAATCTCGGCAGGAAATTGAAGGATTAAAGACACAAAGGTGTCCGTCACTCTGAGAGGAAGTGGGGAGCCGCTTAATTGGAAGTGAAAGGCAGGACATCACCATTAATTAATTGTTATCCTCAGCTATAAATAGGGCTTTGGCAGCGGAGGAGTGCCTGGCCCCGGGTCAGCTCTGTCCCGCCGGGAATAGCTCCTAATCCCGGCGTCCTGCTCCCGGGATTAGCGGGGCCGGGCTGGTCCCGGAGCTCACCCCGAGTTTCCAGGAGCAGCTGTGCCCCGTGCTCAGTGAAACCGAGACACATCCTCTGTCCTTGGGGACCCCCGGCTGTGCCGAGCCTTCCTGGGGGCTTGGGGTGCCCCAATCTGGGATGTTTGGGGTGGTTTGGAGTGGGTTTGGGTAGATTTGAGGGGGTTCGTGTGTGTTTGGGGTGGGCTTGGGTGGGTTCGGGTGGATTTGGTTTATTTTAGGGTGGATTTAGCGTGGGTTGGGGCGGGTTTGTGTTGTTTTAAGGTAGGTTTGGGGTGGGTTTAAGTGTGTCTGGGGTGATTCTGTTTGGGTTCAGTCTCAAGCTGCTTAGCCCGCCCCGACCCATTTCCACCGCTCCGGTCCCCGGGAGGGGAAAGACGGGCCGGGGCTGCGGCCCCTCCCGCTGCCGGACTACAGCTCCCAGCAGGCACCGGGCTGGCGGAGGCCGCTCCCGCTTCCGGACTACAGTTCCCAGCAGGCACCGGGCTGGCGGAGGCCTCTCCCGCTGCCGGACTACAGCTCCCAGCAGGCACCGGGACCGGGCGGGGCGGGGCCGAGGCGGGTCAGAGCCGGCCCGGTAGAGGAGCATCCCCGCCAAGATGAACGCGGTGCTGGCGGTCCGGCAGTACGTGTCCAAGATGATCGAGGACAGCGGTCCCGGCATGAAGGTGCTGCTGATGGACCGGGAGACGGTGAGCGGCGGGGCCGGGAGCGCGGAGGGCGGCGGGGCCGGGAGCCGGGCCCAGGGGCCGCCGTGACGGGCGCTGCTGCCTTGCCGCCCTCAGACCGGCGCCGTGAGCGTGGTGTACACCCAGTCCGAGATCCTGCAGCGCGAGGTTTATCTCTTCGAGCGCCTCGACTCGCCCAACAGGGAGCCCATGAAGCACCTCAAGGCCATCTGCTTCCTGCGGCCCACCAAGGTACGGACCAGAGTGGGAGGAAACGGCCTCAAATCGTACTGGGGAGGTTTAGGTTGGATATTCAGGAAAACTCCTTCATGGAAAGGGTTGTTCAGCCCTGTTACAGGGCAGTGGTGGAGCCACCGTCCCCGGAATTGTTCAAATCCGTGTGGATGTGGCAGTGGGGGTCCGTGGTGGCCTTGGCAGTGCTGGGGGAATGGCCGGACACCAAGATCTCAGAGGCTTTTCCAACCCTAACGATTCCATGACTCCGTATTGCTTAACTCTGCTCTCCCTGGTGCTGTTTCCATCCAGGAGAATGTGGAGCTCCTGGTGCAGGAGCTGCGAAGGCCCAAGTACAGCGTCTACTTCATCTGTGAGTATGAAGAGTCCAGTGGTCCTGGAGGTCCATAAATCTGGAACAGGCTTTGCATCCCAGTGTGGATGGCACAGGCTTCACACACAGCACCTTCCTGTGCCGGGTGTGTCAGTCAGTCCCATGTGTCCTGCTCGTGCCACGGGATGTTCCATGAGTTTGGGAATGAGGCGGAATGACTCCAGCTGGTTTGGGGCTGAAGTCCAGTCCTCTAGCCCAGGAATTAGTCAGTAGGATCCCAGGAACTGGGTGAAGTGGCCTCTAGATGTCATTGTGGCTCTGCAGGATGCAGTGGGACCAGGCGCTGGGAGATGGGCAGGGAATGAGTTGGGAGCATCCCCGGGAGGTGGCTCAGGATTCCAACACCTGCAGGTGCGGGGTTAGAGGGTCTCTGTGGGATCTGCTCCTGCTCCAGAGGGGATCAGACTAGTTGTCTCACAGGGTCTGCATGGAGCCCCACTGTCCCTTCCGTGTTTCCTCCCAGATTTCAGCAATGTCATCAGCAAGAGCGATGTGAAGGCCTTGGCTGAGGCCGATGAGCAGGAGGTCGTGGCTGAAGTCCAGGTGAAGTTTGGATGTTTTAAGTAGATCCAAACCCAAAGGCAAAGGGAAGGTCCAGGCTGTCAGACACGGGGAGCAGGAGGGCTGTTGTTCCCAACAGGTTCATGACAGGCCTGTGTGGGAGGAGGGATGGACAAAAATGTGGCATTGAGAAAGATAGAAAAGGTCCCATTCTTCTGTGCTCTCACAGCTGCTGCTGTTGGTGCTGCCAGGTTCGAATCCATGTGGATGTGGCAGTTGGGGACATGGGTTAGTGGTGGCCTTGGCAGTGCTGGAGGGATGGTTGGACTCGATGGCCCTTAAAGGGCTTTTCCAAAGTCAGTAATTCCATGGTTCCATGTTTGTGGTGCTGATGAAGATCTGGGCACTGGAGCAATGCACAGTACCAACGGGAGGGGAGTTGCCAGAGGGGTTTGGGGTGGAGGAAGGAAGGATGGTCCAATCCAGTGTGTCTAGCTGGTGGTGGGGCTGGGTGGCCAGTGCTGGCACATGGCTCTGGCTGGGATCAGGGTTAGAGACACAGCACTGTCCTGCTCCCCTCCCCAGGAGTTCTACGGTGACTACATTGCAGTGAACCCACACGTCTTCTCCCTCAACCTGCTGGGCTGCTGTCGGGTAGGAACACAGCGACCACGGGGGGCTGCTGGAGGGGCAGGGGAATGGACCTTGGCAAGGACAGGAACACCAGGGAGTTGGGGTTGAGCCCTTGGGTACCTGCTGCTCCAGTGCAGCTGTGCTTTCCTGTGAGACTTCAGGACTTAGAAACAGAGATGTGGGAAAGTTTGGGACTGGTGCACCCGTGTGAGGTGCAGCCTTTCCTTCCAGGGCCGCAGCTGGGACCCGGCTCAGCTCACCAGGACGACCCAGGGGCTCACTGCTCTGCTCCTGTCCCTGAAGAAGTGCCCCATGATCCGGTACCAGCTCTCCTCAGAGCCAGCAAAGCGCTTGGCCGAGTGTGTGAAGGTGAGAGGAACCCACAGCACATCCCTTTGGGATGAATTCAGCCTTGGTTAATTTTTTTACACGTGGATCCACTGGAGGAAAACACCTGTGTTCAGTAAATTCCTGTGAATTCCATCATTGGAATTGAGAGGCCCAGCACTGGGCAGGTCGTGTCAGCTGGAGTACAGCGTTCCTGGGAGCAGTGTCCCTTCAGCTCCTCCCTGGCAGTGCAGACAAAGCAGCACAGTTGGTGTTTCACCCTCCCTTCCCTCTGTGCCTAAGTCCACACCGAGAGGGAGCCTTTTCCAGGTGTCCAAGTGGGATTTCTGCCCTTTCTCCACAGCAAGTGATCACGAAGGAATACGAGCTGTTTGATTTCCGGCGCACTGAGGTCCCGCCCCTGCTCCTCATCCTGGACCGGTCGGACGATGCCATCACCCCACTCCTGAACCAGGTGAGTCACAGGCTGTGAGTCACGTCCCAGGTGTGCCAGGCTGGGGCAGCAGCTGGAGTTCCACCCCTGGCAGGTCATGGGTTGGATGTAGGAGAGAAAAGTGTTGCTCCCCAGCCCCAATCCCTGCAAAATCCCTCTTTTATCCCCTGGCTAGGTTTTCCAGACCTGAGTGGGGGGTTGTTTGTGCTGGCTTCAGTGGCAGATGGACCCAGCACCCTGGAAAACAGGGCCACCAGCATTTCTGTGTGGCTTCTGGAGCCCCAGTGCTTTGCAGGGCCTTTCCCAAGGGCTGTTTGTGGGGCTGTGGGCAGCACACAGCTGTCGAGTGACCTTGCCCTGCCGAGTCTCCCTCTGTTATTGATGGCTGCTGGATTTGCTGGGAGCCGTTGGATTTATTTGTTCCATGCTGTGCTGCAGATCCTGGCAGGGTCTGTTGGTCTCTCTTCGTTTCTGTGGGATTCCCTTGGAACCTGGGGATCAGCAGCCCCAGAGTGGCTGTAACACCAGTTCTGCAGGAGCTGCAGGTGACATCTGTGTCACAGAGGAGTGTGGCTGTTTAGGACTGTGCTCAGCATCGGGCGTTTTCTGCTGTTTCAGGATTTCCTATCCCAAAGAGATTCCCAGGGATGTACATGCAGTGTTGGGCATGGCAGGGCTCTGATCAGCTGCCACTGTTCTCTCTGGGTTATTATTAGACTTCTCAGGATAAAAATAGAAACTCCTGATGTGCAGAAATACTCCTGCCAGTGGAGCATGTAGGGAATTCTGCGTGGAACTGGGGGATCTCTCCCTGCCTGGGCAGAAAGTTGGGGGGTTTGGTGGCCAACAGAGGTGTTGGAACAGGAATGTTAATCCCCATCCCTCTTTGGTCTCTTTTGAAGGTACCTGCAGGAATTCCTGATCTGGTGGGAGGTAAACATAAACAGGATAGTTTAATGTCCCTTCCAACCCAAACCATGCCACTGTAATTCTGGAAAGGCCCTGGAGGGGGCCGGTTTCCCTCTGCACTGTCTCCCCATCTGATTATTTATCAGTGATGTGTATTTTTATCGGAACGTCCTGGCTGGTTGAGGGACACACTCCCAGACTCTGCTGTGTGTCCTGGGGTAGCAGGAGCAGCTCTGGCTGGGTTCAGCTGAAGTCCATTGATTTCCCAGTGCTGTGTCTCACCAAGGTCATCCCTTTGCCTTCCTCTGTCCCCTGGCAGTGGACGTACCAGGCCATGGTCCACGAGCTGCTGGGGATCAACAACAACCGCATCGACCTGTCCCGAGTGCCAGGGATCAGCAAGGACCTGCGGGAGGTCGTCCTGTCAGCTGAGAACGATGAGTTCTACGCCAATGTAGGTGTCCTGGGGGGCTTCAGCAGCACCCAAATCTGAGGGTTTGCCCCGGGGAAGGAACTTCCCGATGACTTTGAGCCTCAGGGTGGGTGGGGATGTGCCATTCGTGACCGTCAGCGTGCAGCAGCAGTGGCGTCTGATATGAGACAACCTGTCCTGTTTGTAATTTGATTTCAAGCCCTGCTGCAGGTTTTTGGGGAATGGAGCCACTTTCTCCCAGCTGCTCAAGGCTCTTCCTTGGTCAAGACTCACGTGAGTTTCCTTCTGCTTCCTGTCTTGTTCCACACAGAACATGTACCTGAACTTTGCTGAGATTGGCACCAACATCAAGAACCTGATGGAGGATTTCCAGAGGAGGAAGCCAAAGGAGCAGCAGAAGCTGGAGTCCATTGCGGATATGAAGGTAGGGACAAAGTCCATCCCAGCTGTGTCCCATCCTTTAATGTTAGGAATAAATAAAAAGTACATCCCTCCCAGAAACCTCCTGGTAATGAGAGAGATCCTGTGGGCTCATGGGATCAAGGTGTCTGAACCTCTGCACGCCTGCACAGGGCTTGGATTGCTGGGAATTTGTACAATTTATGGCTGGCTGCACCCACCTTCTATCTCCTGCTTTTCCCTGGAAGCACCCCCTGCCTCAGTTTCCCATCACAGGCCTTTGTGGAGAACTACCCTCAGTTCAAGAAGATGTCAGGCACTGTGTCCAAGCATGTGACAGTGGTGGGGGAGCTGTCCCGGCTCGTGGCAGAGCGGAACCTGCTGGAGGTGTCAGAGGTGGAGCAGGAGCTGGCTTGCCAGAATGACCATTCCAGCGCCCTCCAGGTACTCATCCTGCCTCTGCATCGGGGAGGGGGCTCATCCTGTCACTCCCCTGGGAGTGGGGATTGGGTGCTGGGAGGCAGTGGGAGCTCTGTGTGCAGATACCCTGTGGGGAGAGACACTGGATGTGGAATTGTTCCTCAGTGCTCAGCTCAGATGGGAATGAGTCATCGTTAATAACTGGCTTGAGAAGCATCTTTGCAAATCCTGTCCTTACATCCCACAATCCAACATTCTTTCATTATATTCAGCCACTTAGCTTCTGGCAGGCACCAGGATAAAACAACCTCAGATGCCATGCAGGAGCTGATGTGTTTGTTGGGCAGGAGAAGAGCTGGAATCCATGGAATTGTCTTTACCTGTTTTTTAAAGCAAAACCACTGGAAAGTCTCTTAGATCCAAGATTCCTTTGGCAGAGAGGCCTGGAAAAGCTGGAGAGAGGCTCTGTGACAGCTGAACGTGGCCCCTTGTGCTGTGACCGGAGCAGGGTCTGGCAGAGTCAGTGGTGATGGATTCAGGCTGGTGTTCAACAGCAGCTTTGGGATGGGGCTGGCTCTGAGCAGGGTTGCAGCAGCCACTCGCTTCTGAGAAATGATTCCTTGATTTTCGGTAGCAGAGGGGGATTCCCAGCATGTAACAGACCCTTGCATGGCACTGGGGAAGCAGAGGGACTTGGAAATGAGGAAAAGCATCTCCAGCAGGTTTGAGATCAAGTTTCCCCACTTCTGTGATTCTGAACGCCAGGTGGTGGCCGAGGGGGTAACACTGGACTGTCCCCAGATGTGGAATGTGCTCCCATCCCCTGGGCTGCTGCTTCTCTATGGACAGTGAGTGTAGGGATGGGATTCCATAGCTGGTGTCTGGCAGGATTTACATGGCTGAGTATGGAACTGGGAATGCAGCCAGGAATGTGTTTGCTGGAAGCAGTCTCTGAGGTCCTCGTGCTGTATCACTGTCTCCAGCTCAGGTTGTTGTGCTTTAAAAGTCAAATATTCCCAGTCTGCTCCTTCCCTGTGCCATGAGCCATGATTTTTGATGGAATATACATAGCACAGAGCTGTGCCGTGGTGTTCCTGGGGTCACCTTGGTGTTCCTGGGGTCACCTTGGTCCTGCTCTACACCAGCAGTGTTTCTGCAGTTTTAGAGCAGAAATGCTGCCTCAGTTTCATTGCAGCCCTGTGCCTGAAGAGCTCTGTTGTATTTCCAGCAACTGAGGCCACTGGGAGATATATGCAGCAGCTTAAAAGTAAATGGAAAATCGTGTAAGTGGGATCTTTGTCCCTGCAGCCACCCCGCCTTAGGCTGTCCCTGCTGTGGCTCCCAGTGGCAGCGAGAGGGGCAAGGCCACAGGACAAGAAGCAGCAGCCAGAGCCCGGAATAAGGGTGGAATTGTTCTCCCTTGATGTCACTTCAGGGATTGTTGGATCTCTGGTGACCTTGGGCCCCGCAGTCTGGGACATTTGGGTTCTTCCTCCCCTGGGCTCTCATTAACCCTGACACAGTACATGAGCCCTGGGAGCTGAATGGAGGGTTGGAATCCCAGCTCCTGCCATGGACAATGGCTGTTCTGTTCTGTGCTTCCTGCTGGTCCTGGCACTGCCAGCACAGGAACCTCCCTGGGGCTCCAGCCCTCCCCTCACAGGTGGATTCCTGACCTTGAATGGTGGAATTCCTCTTGATCCTCCTCACAGCCAGGATTTTATGCTGTGTTTTTGTCACTAGTCAGCATCAGTCAAATAGATGCCAACAAGCACCAGGGCCAGGGTGGTGAATCCAACAGCAGAATCTGGAGTGATAACAGATCCCTGTTCTTCCCTGTAGCTCGGATCTCTCTTCCCATGCTTTAATTCCCTCCCTTCTTTGCTTCTGAAAGTGCAGTTTGTTCCTCCATGTTTCACATCCAAATGTTTGCTGAGACTTTGATGCCTCTGCCTCGCACCTTCCAAAAAGGAAATGGAGTTGGAGGGATTGCCTGAGGGGATTTTTGGAGTGGTGGAACCTGTAGGGTGGCTCTGCTCAAGCTGGAAAGACCCCGGCAGAGCTTGGAGGTGTCTGAAAGTGCCAGTGAAGGCAGCGTGACTCCAAGTCGCTCAGGCTGCGGGCACCGGAGCAGCCCGGGGTGGCCCCGCGTCCCTGAGGTGCCGTGTGTGTCCTGCAGAGCGTGCGGCGGCTGCTGCAGAGCCCGCGGGTGTCGGAGCTGGACGCAGCACGGTTGGTGATGCTCTACGCGCTGCGCTACGAGCGCCACGGCAGCAGCGGCCTCCCGGCACTGCTGGAGGAGCTGCGGGGCCGCGGCGGCACCGACAGGTACCGCAAGGTAACCGCGGGGTGGGGGGGGACAGGACCGGGGCAGGTACCGGGAGGTGACCCCGGGGTGGGGCAGAACCGAGGCAGGTACCGGGAGGTGACCCCGGGGTGGGGCAGAACCGGGGCAGGTACCGGGAGGTGACCCCGGGGTGGGGCAGAACCGGGGCAGGTACCGGGAGGTGACCCCGGGGTGGGGCAGAAGCAGGGGCAGCCCCACAGGATGGGGGGAATCGCTGCTCTTTGGGGTGAAATCTGCCCGCTCCGGGTCAGGTAGCAGGAGGTGACCCTGGGGTGGGGCAGGTAGCGGGAGGTGACCCCGGGGTAGGGCAGGACCGGGGCAGGTAGCAGGAGGTGACCCCGGGGTGGGGCAGGAGCAGGGGCAGCCCCACAGGATGGGGGGAATCGCTGCTCTTTGGGGTGAAATCTGCCCGCTCCGGGTCAGCCCAGGGTTGTGTTGTTGCACAGAGCTCTGAGCTCTGCTGGGACCTGTGGGTGTGACTTTAAAAGGTGTTTTAAATCAGTGACTCGGTTTTCATTTCCTAAATGAGTGATGTTGGGGGTTGGACTCCAGAAGTCCCTTCCACTGCCTGGTCTGTGATATTATGGAGGATTTAATAAAGAAGGCATGGCAGGAGCCTGCTGGGAGGGCAGTGTGGCACGTACATGGGCCTGGGATGTGCTTCCTCTCGTCTTTTCCTCCCCCACTTTCCCCAGCTTCTGCAGCACAGGCAGTGGCTGCAGCGAGGGGCTGGGGATGGAGAGGAGCTGGCAGGGAGGGAACAGGTGGCAGTGCCAGGAGCAGCTGGGGAGGAGGTGGAGGAGCGGGATGATGTCACCTCGTGTGGAGGAGCTGATGTCGCTGCTGCAGGCGATGGAGATGAAGCCTCTCCTCAAGCAGGAGGGTCGGGGCGGGCTGGGGGGTGTGGGGATGCTGCTGCTCTGCCCCCTCACCCCAATGTGCAGTTGCATTGGGATCACCTCCGTGGCTCCTTGTCCCCATTCCAGACCTCCATGAGGTGTCTGCAGTGACTCCTCCCCAGAGCCTGGAAGGAGTTCCCAGGCTGACAGGGCTCCTGCCCTCTCCCTGCACAGCTGGTGTCCGCCGTGGTGGAGTATGGAGGGAAGAGGGCCCGAGGCAGTGACCTGTTCAGCCCCAAGGATGCCGTGGCCATCACCAAGCAGTTCCTCAAAGGCCTGAAGGTACCGAGCTGCCGTGGGGAAAAGGGGACAGACTCGACCAAAACTGCAGAGGAGGAGCAGGAATGGTGTGGGCTGCTGGCTCACTGAGGTTTCACAGAGAGGGCAGTGGCTTCAGGGCCTGATTCCACTGAGAACAATGGCAGTGAGCTGCTGGAGAGCTTCTCCAGTCCCCAATTCACGGGTACCGAATCCTGCTGTGCCTCTGCTGATCCTTCTTCCCTGCTGGGCCACTCCCTAAAGAGTTTCTCTCCGGCTGCAGGGCATTGAGAACGTGTACACCCAGCACCAGCCCCTGCTCCAGGAAACCCTGGACCAGCTCATCAAGGGAAAGCTCAAGGACAGCCAGTATCCCTACCTGGGCCCCAACACACTCCGGGACAGGTATGTGGGGCCTTTGGGGCAGAGCCTGCACTGGGACACATCCCTGGTGTCCCCAGCGCTGTCCCCACAGTGGGGTTGGACTGATGATGAACAGAACTGGGGCTTGGCACAGAAATCTCTTGGATGTGGAGATCTGATACTGATATTCCCAAGAATGTTCCCTGGAGCAGGCTCCCAGGACTGGGATATGTCTCATCCTGGTTTGCTGGCTTGGATGTGCCATTCCCATTGGGAGGCTCAGGTAAAGGATGAAGCCCTTGCTCATCAGAGCTGGCTCTGTGATGTCTGTGTCATCTGGTGTTTGGGGACTGCCAAAAATAGCCCAACTGCAGCTCTCCTGCCCGGGCCAGTACTGTTCCCAATGGGATCCTGCTGGAGAGGGTCATGCAGACCTAACCCAGACTCTGGGGAGACACAGGCTTTGGGTGGTTAGTGGTGATACAGATCACGTTGGGAAAGGACTGCACTCACCTTTACCATGAATTTTCCCTGCTTTCCCACATCCCCTTGAGCAGGCAGGAAGTGGTGTGGGGATCCACGGAAATCTAGTGGCCAGCATGCTCCGGGTCATGCTGTCCATGCACTGATCCAAGAAAGAAATCCCTGGTGTTGGTCCTTCCAAGGGATTGGGAGGGTGGTTACAGGAAAGGGAAGGAGCAGCTCACTTGAAAGCAGGATGGACACAGCACACCTGAGTTTGTGTTGGGATGGGGGAAGGCACTTCCTTCCTTTCCCCTTTCCTCTTACTTGGCCTCTCTCTACCATCCCACATTTCCCTGCTGGCTGGGAAATGTCCCCTCAGGTGAACTGAGGCACAAATCCTGATCAGTCACAAGCACGAGCTGCCCCGAGCCTGGGAGCTCCAAGGCAGCGCCGTGTCCTTGCCTGACTCTGGAATTGATCCTGATTTCCCAGCCCCAGCAGATCATGCATTAAACATGGGTGTGTGGATCCACGGGGATTGGGGTGGTGCTGCTGGAGGCTGCTTGGGGCTGTGGGTGAAAGTTCAGGAGAGGAGAGGTTTTGGGGTATTCAATGGGTTGTTTTCAGCTCCAAGCCCAGCACATCACAGGCATGAGGGAGGGTCTGGAGGAGGCACCCGTGGGATCATCAATCCCTGCCTCCAAGGTGCAGGATTTATCCTTGACTTTGTCTGATCCCAACTCAGTATTTGTGGCTGCACCATCCCAGAAAATGTCCAAGGCCAGGTCGGACAGGGCTTGGACCCACCTTGTGTGGTGGAAGGTGTCCCTGCCACGAACGAGATGAGCTTTTAGGTCCCTTCAACCCAAACCATTGCATGATTTTGTGCCTTTATCCCAGGCCTCAGGACATCATCGTGTTCCTCATCGGGGGGGCCACCTACGAGGAGGCCCTGGCTGTGTTCAACCTGAACCGCTCCAACCCCGGCGTCCGCATCGTGCTGGGTGGGACCACCATCCACAACACCAGGAGGTAAAATCCACCCCTCTGCAGATCCTGCCTGTCAAACGGCTGGCACAGCAGCAATTTGGGATGCCTGTGGGATGCCCACATGGAAATGGGTGTCGGTGCTCTGGACCCAGCTCTGCTCATGGTTCAGGGACAGATCCCTGAGCTGGAGGTTTAACTTGCATTTCCCTGAGTTCAAGGGCAGGCAAGTAAAGTTTTCCATAGAGTTCTTCTAGTTCATAACACTGGGAAGCCAGAGCAGCACATGGGAATTCAGCACTGAATGAACCTGCAGCTGCTTTGTTGAAGGTGGGCAAAGAACCCTGTCAGTATGGAATTCCCAGTGGGAAATGTCTGGTTTATAAATACAAGTCACTTTTCCTGAACCCAAATTACTCACTTTGGGTACAGGTAAGAATTGAGGCCACAGTGGGAATTTCTTCCCATCGGCACAGCTTGCTGCTGGCCAGGCAGGAGAGCAGGAATTCCCTCCATATTCCCAATGTTCAGTGTGGGATGGCGTGGAAAATCCTGAGCTGCTGCTGAAGCTCAGGATCTGCAGCTCCATCACTGGCTCCACTTGGATTGGTGCTGCTAGGAGCCACCTGGGCTGGTTTGGGCTCTGCTGCTGTGCAGTCCCTGAATTATTTACAGAAAAACTGGGTTTCTGTATCCAAATTTGCATTTCAAAGAATGAAGGGGGTGGTGGGGGGGGGAGGAAAATAAAAGTCTGGTGCTTTGGAAGGGCTGGATGTGGCTGGGTCCTGCCTGAGGAGGACAGCAAAGAAACAGCCCTGTCCCAAAGGATCCATTTTCCCTTGGATAAGGTTTCCCTGAGGATGGAAGGACAACAAAGCTGTCTCCTGTCCACTATTATCCACGATTCCAGCACAGTGCCCTAGGATCAGGGATATCTCAGCACATCCGTGAGGTGTCTGATATGAGGAAAGCCAGGTTTTAATGTGTCCCAACCCCTCCCGTAATCCATGGCCTTGCTGATTCCCGTGGGATTAGGGCAGATATGTCACCAGAAACAAGGGGATTTGGGTGTTAATGCACCGAGCAGCCTTGTAAGCACCTAATCCTGGTTCCATTGTTCTTACTCCCTGCTGGAACTGGGACCAACATCTGTGGGCCCAGAGGGGTGGCCCAAAGGATGGAGAATTCGCTCTGCTCTTAGGGATTCCAGAGCAATTCCGCAGGGTTTGGAGGAGAAAGGGTTACAAAGGATCAATAATCGGATAAAAAGGGTTGCCAGGAACATCTGGTGCTGGGGCTGACTCATCCTGGGCAGGTTGAGCACGAACCTGCTGGGACTAATCCCAGGATGTGGGGCCTGACCCAGTTACCCAGTTACAGCTGCAGTGGCGACACTGGATCCTCCTGGGGACCCTCCTCACTGTGCAGGGTTCATTCCTCCTGGGAGTGCCATCTCCAGGCCTTGCCTGGGTGGGGCAAGGGGTGGAGGTACCTGCAGACACCTGTGCTGCGTCCTCACCTGCTCCTGCAGGATCTGCAGGGTCCTGGGAACAGCAGCCTCAGAAAGGGGGGTGGTTTGTGCTGTGGTGCAGCTCATCCCTGGAGGGCAGGTGGGAGTTTGGCTCTTGCCCCCAGTCACTCCAGACTGGGAATGTGCTCAGAGAGGATGTGCAAAGGGACCCTGAGGTGTCACCGGTCACAGGCATAACCTGCTCCGGACAGCACAGAACCAGGAAACGCTAAAAACACCAGTCATTCCCTGCCAGAGCTCAGTTCTGCCTGGTTCTAGTGCCTAAAAATAACCTGGAGGAGGGAGAGCTCAGGCTGGAACACAAAGCCAGGTGTCAGAGCATGTGCCAGTGGGCAGTGCCCTGGCTGTGCCCCCTCCTAGCTGTGTCCAGTGGGACTCAGAACTGGGTGTTGCTGCAGGGTTTTGTGGCAGATTTTAGGGTTCTACTATTTTTCAGACCTCTCGAGATTCATAACCTGGGCAGGAAGACCTGCTCCAGCCCCAGTTTAGGGGAATCCCATTTCTTAGTATTTGTGGCATGTCTTGGTTTGTATTTCTTTATCTTTTGGGTGGTTTTTTTTAAGCATTGCCTAAAGAATTGAGATCACCTGATCAGCAGATTGAGGGATGAGTCAGCCTGGGAATGGCCATGGTGTCTCATTGCCAGAGGATCCATCCTCAGCAGCATCCTTCCGGGCTGGGAGCATTCCTGCCTTTGGGAGCTGCTGCCAGCCGTGCGTTTGTGATGCCAGCAGGCCTGAGGCTTGTGCTGGGGACAGTCACAGCCCCTCTGGTCTTGGACACCTCCCGAAGAAGTGTCAGGGTGCCATGAGCAGGTCTCTGGCCCTTGTTCCACTGACCCGAACCTTTCCCGGCAGTTTCCTGGAGGAGGTCACAGCCGCAGGATTCCGCGGTCGAAGCGCTGACAGCTCCCAAGTGCCACCAAGGTCCAGCAGCCGACGGTGAATCCTGAAGGAATGAGCACTTCTTTGCACGTTCAGAGCTTTCCCAGAGCAGAGCAGGATCTTCCTGCAGCTGGAGCTTCCCCTCCACACCCAGAGTGGCAGCGAATGCTGGAGCTGGCACTAGCCCGAGGGCAAGGATATGTCCCCACTGCAGCTCCTCATTGTGCCCTCACAAACAGCTCCAGGACTGGGATTGTCACCTGAGGAGAGCCTGGGAAAGCCCTTGAATCCCTGCAGCTCCTGGCTCTTTACCAGGACACACGATGAGTCCCGTGAGGAACCCAGTGATGCTGCCCCATGCGGGGGGAGCAGCTGTGGGGTGCGTGGCTGTGGCACAGGAGCCCTTTGCTCTCTTGTCTGTATATGTTGAATCCTATTAAATCCCCCACTTTGGCCGAATCTGTCTGCTAGATGATTCCCACTTTCCCTTTCCCAATGCCACAAGGTGCAGTTACAGCCCGAGCCTCCATGAGAGCCTTTGCTCCCCTCCAGGGCCACACCAAGGAACCTGCAAGTGCATTTCCAGCTCTGCTCCCTGGCCTCTAATCAGCACTTGATTGGGAATTAACAAGCCAGATCAAATGAAATGAGCTCCTAAATCCCTGGGAATTATCTTGGCATCACAACTAAGTCCTGTTGATGTGGGATAGAGCAGAGCCCTGCGGGGAGGAGGGGACGTGGCCCAAGGGGTCCTGGGCAGCTCTTTGGGGAAGGGAGGGGAGATCACAACCTGTGCTGGGGGTGGTTCTCTGCCCACAGCCAGGGGCGGAACTGGGTGGGCACCTGTACAGTGAATTTTGGGTTCTTGGGACATGCAGAGCTGCAAGTGAATTCTCCCTTAGTCGTGAGTCAGGTCTCTGACAGCCTGAGACCCCAGCACAGGGGAGCTGAGTCCCAGCCATCAGAGGATATTGGGCAGCCCTCTGCCCCATCCACTCTTGCAGCAGCCAGAAGAGCATGTGTCCTCATTAAACTCCGCTTGCCTTCCAGGCAGCAGCTTCACACTTGATATCCAGAGGCAGAATGCTGTGTGTGAGGTGTTAAATACCTAAATAAACCAGGAGTTTTCTGCTCTGCAAGAAGAGGAGATTTTGGCAATAGCTGTTTATTATGGAACAGCACACCCAGACACACTCAGGGCCAGTGAACATCAGGGCCAAGTGTAGCAAAGGGGCCATGTGAACAGAGGGAGAGACACAAACGCCCCTTGGAGAGGCTTTTCGTTCTGCCCACAGGGATGGGGATGAGAAGCTGCACAGACCATGCCACCTGTCCCACTGCTGAGCAGCCTCCAGGGTCGACCTCGCTGCTGGAGGTGCAGCCGCCTGTTTCTGGTACAGAAATGGGAGACGAGTTCCCTCCTGTCTCCTTCCTTCCATGTAAATTGTTGATGTTTCCAGCTCTGAATCATTGGTCACATCCTTCACAGTGTGACTCACTGTCGCACTGTCAGAACAGCCTGAGGATTCCAACTGCAGCTGAATTCCTGCTGCCAGGGATGGGGAGGTGTGTGCAGGTGCGTTACCTGCTGTGGTTTCAGGGCACCTTCCCTGGCACCAGAGGACATTTGGGAAGAGCCTAGGCCCTGGATTCAAAGGGCACGACAGAGCTGTCCTACTGCCACCAACCCTGTGCCATCTGGTGCTGGCCATCAGCCGGTGCTCTGCAGGCCCTGGCCACCAAAAACAGGATGTGAGGAAGGACAAGTCCGGTTGGGAGGCAAAATGTCATTAAATAAACTGGCAGGTTCTGTGGGGTCCCAGGGATACACTGGGGGCTCTGGGCAGCCAGCGTGGCTCATCTGTCCTGACCAAGCTTTGGCCATGTGGGGTAAAAGGGGAAACTGAGGCACGGAGATGGCAAATCCTGGTCCTGGGCCCCTTGGAGTTCAATGTTGCACTGACACAACACAAAAAGGCAACCCCTGGATTTGGTGTAGAGAGTGACTTGTGTCTCTGCCCCAGGTATTCTCAGGTTTCCAGTGCATCCACAGCTCATGGCAAAAATGCCAATGCTCAGAAATGGGATAAAAACACTCGCAGAAGCTCTGGAAATACTCCATAATCCAAGTACATCCCTAAGGCTCCACGTGCATTAATTCCAGAGTGCTGGGGTTAAACTACAACTTGAAATCATAGGAAAGGGTTGTTGTCCAGTGATGGGATGGACTGTAAAGCTGGGATGGGATGGATGCTGTCATTGGAAAGCTGATCCACTGATGGATGATGGATCAATGTATTTCTGGAAAGAACCATATTCTCCTTTCTCTGCTTTTCCCTCTACCTCACCCATTTCTGATCCGTAAGTCCCATCTGTCACCTCAGTCCCACACTCAGACTGTTCTGGACTTGTGGGACATGAAGGAGACAGATAAAATAAGCTAAAAAGGGACATTTTTTAGGAAGCCGAGTGTCTCCTCACTTTTGGAAGCCACACTCTGAATCCTCGCTGCTGGAGGCGACCCCTTCCCCAGGAAATCTCCCAGCTCCTCTCTCTAGAGGGATTTGTTCACGCTTCCGAACACCTTTAGGGGAGGCACCCCCTCCCAGTTCCACCCGGCTGTTTTTTCCCCTCTCCTAGGAAGTTTCCCGGTGACCCGTGACACCGCCGGGAACGCGGCTGGGCCGCGGTGGGGGGACACGGGGCGAGGCATCGCCCGCCCCAGCGCCCGCTGCCCCACGGCCCCGCGTGTCCGGTGAGTCAGAGACAAAGGAGAAAAACCCTTCGTGGGCTGCGATTCGCCCCGTGCCGCGAACCCCGACGTCACGGGCGTGCGGCTATAGATGGAGCTCGGGAGCCCGGCGCAGCCCCCCGAGCTGCGGGATGGTGGCGGCGGGGGGGGACGCGGCGGCGGCGGCGGCGGCGGCGGCGCTGGCGATGGCTCAGAGCGCCGGGCTGGGCGCCGTGTAACGGGAGAGGCCCCTGAGCCACGCGGGGCGAAGGCAGCGCGGATCGCGGGCGCAGTCCCGGGTGTTCCCCCGCGGGAGCCCCTCTGCGACCCCTCCCCGCCCCCGCCCCACATCGCCTCCGAGAGCACCGAGGAACGATGAAAAAAAATAATTCTGCGAAAAGGGTGAGTAGAAAATGGGTTCTTAGCCCGGGGCAAGGCAGGGTGAGGGTGGCTCCTGCGTGTTTTGGGGAGGGGGGTTTGTGTCTCTCCGGGGCCGGTTGTTCGCTTCGGTTCTGCTCCCCCCGCAGAAAGCGCACGGACCCCCCAGGCGGGTCCAAGGAGACCCAAACCCAGCTCCCGGCCCTGCTCCTGCCCCTGCCCGCGCCCCTCCTGCCTCCCGCACCCGCCACAGACACTGGGGGATGTGGGCAGGCAGTTTTCATATTGAAACACAAGGAAACGATAAAATCCGGAGGCACCATCAATCCGTCGCTCTTTGCCGTGTTGTGTGCTGCACCCAGCGATCCGATCATCGCTGCCTACGGAGACACCTCCGATATAAACCAACCACAGATTTCACCTCTTGGATTAATTGCTCATAAAAAGCTCCAAAATGCAATTTTCATCGCAGTAGAAAAAAAACCCAGCTGGTTTAAATTCCGCCCATCCCCCTCCTGTTCCCCTTTCCATGGGTAAATGCCCTCTGGATGAGGCGATAGAGACACCGGCCTGTCTTATATAACCGCGGAGGGAACCCTGCCCGCTCCTCGCAGCGTCCTCCCGGTGCTGCCGCTGTCGCTTCGTGTCTGCAGCACAAAAATCCCCGAGGAGTGACCCCGGGGAAGGGAAGGACTCGGTCCCGGCGTCGGCGGAGAGAGGGGCCGGAGGGAGTGGGAGGCAAAAGTTGGGCAAAGAGAGAAGGGGGGGAGAAAAGGAGTGTAAAACCGAGAATAATCCCGTTTCCCCCCATTTTCTTCCCTCTCGCTTTGTGTTAGGGGCACCAGGATGGAAACCAGCAACCTGTGCAGCCGGAGAAGGTCGGCTGGGTGCGGAAATTTTGCGGGAAAGGCATTTTTAGGGAAATCTGGAAAAACCGTTATGTGGTTCTGAAGGGAGATCAGCTTTACATCTCGGAGAAGGAGGTAGGATCGGTTTCAGTTTCCTTTCCCATCCCCCCCTTCCTCCCTTTGCATATGAAAGGCGCAGCCCCGGCCCTTCCCAGCGCCCCTCCAGCGCCAGCCGGGCCCAGGAGGTTCCTCGGGGGCTTCTCCTCGCCCCGGGCTGGCGCCACCGGGACCCGGCCGGGTTGGGCTCAGGCTCGGGCTCGGTGTCGGCTCTGACAGCGATTCTCTCAGACAGCTCTGCTGGGAGACATTTTCCCAGCGTGGAGACACGAAAGGATTCACTTAGCGAGAGTTAAGCCCTCAAACCTCTTTCCGCTGCGGCGACAGCAATGCCGGCTCCCTTCGGTGCCTGTCCTCCGTCCTTGAGCCCAGCACTGCCTTGTTCCCACCTGCTCACTCTCTGTTTGGAAATAGCTCCACTCTCCCAACTGGAATCGAGCCATTTACAGGTCGATCTCTTGCATTTTTCCCCCCATGCCAAGAGGAAAACGGGGAAATTTCACCCCGGATCGACATCATATTATAACACGTGTCCCCTCCACTGTCCCTCATCTCCTTGCTGGGCTTTGGGGTTTAACGTGGTGTTGACATTGGAGGTAATCGGCTGTGACTGTCAGGCTGAGCCAGCACCTGGCTGTCCTTGCACGCCCCCCCCCTGTGCTTTTTGTCTCCATAAATGCATCAGGGAGAGCTCCCCAGGCCAGAGCCCTCCTCCTTCCTATCCCCGTGACATCCCAGAGCTGCACTGGGGTTGCTCCAACTCAGGGAATTTGAGATAAAATCCTGGTCTCTCTGGGTTTCCTCCCTCAGTGTTTGGATGCCTGGCTGCCTGGCCTGGTTCTGTCAGCACCTGGAGTGAGGAAGGGACAATTTGATTTAAGGTTGGTTGAGCTGTGGACATGGCACAGGCAGAGGTTCAGGGCTTGTTACAACAGAGAAATGGCCTAAAAAGTGGACTGAGTGCCCAGGTTGTGCTGAGCTGCTTGCTGGCATTCCAGAGCTTGCTCCCATCAACCTCCTGGCTGCTCCAGAGCCAGAGAGAAACACAGGAACAGGCAATAGATGTTCAGGTAGCTACAGATCAAATCCAGGTGTGCTGGGAGCCCAAGAGAGGGATGAGGCTGGAGGGGCCATACGGAGCTTGTTCTGAACAAGAAGCTCTTGTGTTTGTGTTTCATAGGGGGGAAAAAAACTCACAGCTGGGCCTGAGGCGGCCCCTGGGCTCCACGTGTGTGTGAGGGACCATAAATAACACGCAGCAGCCGCTGCTGAGGCTTTATATGGAAGAATCTGTAGCTGGCAGAGCTGTGGTCACAGAGATGACATCTGGTGCTGGTGTGCACTGAGGTGACTCTGCCTGTGTCAGGGGGTCCTGGGGAGCTCAT